CAGGGTTGTCAAGCCGTAAGTTTGATTCTCATTCCTCCGTCTACCTGTTCATTTAGTTGCAGAAAACTAAGGGTCTTCTTCGTATTTTTATAGATACCTCAGATACACCACTCTCAAGAACTAGGGTCGACCCTTGGGTGGAGACGGTGGAAGTCGTATTCTATATAAACCTGATGACGTTGAGCGTTGTATTGGTATTTTTGCTTCTTGTTTTATTTTATGTGTTTTTTATTGTTTAAAGCGATTCATGATATAAGAGAAAGAAATTTAAAATGATATAATCCATGAATAAAATGATCACTTACTCTAAAAAAATAAAAATAAAAAATACAAAAATTGGTCAAATAAAATTGTCCTTGCGTTTGTCGCTCGGAAGTCGGCCTTCCCCCAAATGAGCAAGTCGCATGGTCAGAGTTGCCTATTCTCTTCAACATCGTCTCCCAAGGTTCAGCTGCCCAGTCCATGTTTGCTCCACGAGGAGGGAGATGCTTTGTTTTGTTTCATTTCCCCCGAAGGTTGGCTGTTGGCTCTGGTAGCTATCAGCCAACTGTCAGGTCTAAGTGAGACTCTATACATAGCGAGCCTTTACTCAACCTTGGGCCTGAGGGCAGTTTGGGATTGGTTTGAAGAAAATCGAAACAGCTTTCGGTAGAGTCACCACGCTATGGTACTCTGAGAGAGAGAAAGCATCATGCCAATGTCCATGGATGTTGTATGATATCGGTCAAGCGCCAAGAAAGAGGGGGCCCTGCTTAACTAACCAGTCACGGGGGAAGTTTCGGTTAAACTTTCGGCCCGGCTGCGGGAAGCTCATCGCAGCTAGCCAATCAGAGGCGTCAGTGCCTGTTTTCCCGCTTACTTCATTGTTCAGCCGCATACAAACGTCGCGAGTTTGAGCGGACATCTCATCTTATCTCACGATTCATACACGTAGCGCCAATTGACACTGGCTCCGCTGTTCTCAGTCAGTCCGCGGCACGAGTCTGACTGTCCGTTGTCTCCATCATGCCTTAGACAGGGTCCTACGGTTTTACCAACTCTGATTCCCAGACCTTTTGCAAACGCTCGCGGATCGAACAAACTAGTGGAAATTGACAACCCCTCCATACAACACAGTGCAACCCTGTCCCTACCGTCTCGATCTATCCGTCCGCGCACCAGCCGATTTCAATTCCCCCCAGCTGCCCAGGAATCTGATACACTGTCCTCACCTGTTCTCCACTTCATATCGAAATTCCTGTACCATTTTACAAACGAATCTTGTTGGGTGAACGAATTCCAATCTCTAGCCTACTCCCTTCTTTTCCATGTCCCACTGGGCCAACCTGTTATGGTAGTGCCAGGGGCATAGCTGCTAGACAAAGAAGAGACGAACACCTGACGAAATTCCTACAACCGTATGTTTGACAACTCGTATTTTTGTTTTATACATATAAGACTTATCGCTGCCTCTGGATTTTGCTTTTTTCCCCTCGCACTCGACCTTTTTTCGTTCTGGCGAATGGCAATTCAAAACCTCAACCAGCCCTTCATCTGTAGAATTCTAGCTAATCATGGCAGGAACAGGCTCAGGACGTGAAACCAACAAGCCGGCTGAAGGAAGTATTCCCCCGAATGTGGCTGCAGGGCCATCGTCAACGCCTACAGCACCCCCAATACCACCACTTACCCCAGACGGCTCCAAACGATTTGCCTCTGTGATTAAATACTTTCGCCCTTCCAAAGCCCGTAGTACTACCATATCCACAACTTGGCCTTCGAGAAAATTCGTTTCGAAGGGCCCCGCAAAAGCTCCAGCGGAGGGAATTCCACGCAATAAGATCCCTGACGAGTTCCGTCTTGCAACTCCAACTACTCCCAAAGCACCAGATCTGGACCCGTTTCGGCGCCCAAGTTTACCCGTCCCTGCTGCTGTGTTGGAACCTGGTCTCAGCCAAAATCTTCAGCTGGAAAAGAGGTTTCTGGAGTACCAGGAGCCGAGGGAGAACGGTAACCGGAAAAGCTCGTTATCCTTTTCTGAAGGTGGACTTAACTCTGTGCCAAAAAGCCCGCCACCAATCGAGACACCAACCGGAAAAGTAGGCCCCGAATCACCGCTTGTGCGGTCGTCTACCAATAAAACACTTAATACGTCGAACCAGTCAACCGCAATTGTGCTTAAAACGATGGCGTCTAATATCACTAGTGGGGCCCAGTATGACTCTTTTCAGGAGCAAAATGCTGGACTGAATACTGCAACTGGAAACCAACCTGCCCCTTCAAATCTGCAAAGTGGTCACAATACATCGTCAGGCCCGACGAATTTATCTGGCCTGGTGTGTAATGTTCATCGAACGACAGGCAGAGAACCCCACCCGCTTGTGGGGCCTTCCAGCACCGTTCTTGGAGATAAGCTATATGTATTTGGGGGGCGGCTGCAGTCAAGAAGCAGGCCCGAGCTGTTAACCAATGAGATGTACGAATTGGATTTGGTACGTCGTCACTGGACCAAATTAGAGACGACGGGGGACATTCCCCCTCCACGTTATTTCCACACAGTATGTGCTTTGGGCGATTCGAAACTGGTTTGCTACGGCGGCATGTCTGCGAAAACTGCTGTTCCAGGTCAGCCTCCCGCGAATCCAAACCCAAATGCGCAACAACCAGGGCAGGAATCACAGCAAGGAGTTGTGCTTTTGTCAGATATATATATCTTTGATGTGCCTAGTAGAACGTGGGTTTTTATTCCGACCGCCAACGCCCCCCGGGGAAGATATGCCCATTGTGCAACAATTCTACCCTCCGGCGCTGCTTTCGGCTCCTCTGATGCCCCTCTGTCCGCTCTCCACCATAACCCTTCTTCGTCTAATCCCCACCAAGGGACGCTAGGTGTAGAGATTGATGGATATGGAGGGGCGGAGATGATCGTTGTTGGTGGCCAGGATACGTCGAATCATTATTTTGAAGAAATAAATGTTTTTAATCTGCGAAGCCTAAAATGGACTTCCACCACCTCTCTTGATCGCAGTTGCGGAGCCTATCGCAGTGTTGCTACCCCTTTGATCGGGGTGAACGCTTCCGATATTGGAGGTGGGGTTGAAGTGGAAGGGTTCAGGGACCCGACGAAGCCAGATGCCCAGAAACCAGATCCCCTGCTGTTGATATATTCAAATTACAATTTCTTAGATGTCAAATTAAATCTGCAGTTCCGTTTACCTGACGGAAAACTAATCGAGAAGCCAATGAATGGCACGGTTTCGCCTCCCGGCTTACGGTTCCCCAATGGAGGCATTATTAATGGACATTTTGTGGTTAGCGGTACTTATCTTACGTCTTCCAAACAAGAGTATGCAATGTGGGCTCTGGATTTGAAAACACTTACGTGGGGCCGGATTGACGCCGGAGGAGCCATTTTTGGACACGGCAGTTGGAATCGCGGTGTCCTGTGGAGTAGGCGAAGCACATTCGTCGTTATGGGACATCGGAAGCGAAGTTTAGTTGAAGATTACAACCACCGGCGCATCAATTTCTCGCACATTTGTTTTGTGGAACTCGAAGCATTCGGCCTATATGAGAATCCACGACGAAGCTCCCCGACTTCGGGGTATGTCTCTGTAAGCAGCCCCATGGTACCTGCTTCTTTACAAGCAAAGATTTCCCAGCATGGTCCCGGAGGTCGACCATTATCTACCGCAGCGGAAGAGTTCGGCAAGATGGCCCTATCACTTCGGGAGTTGTCTGATATGGAGTTGCTCACCATTGGCGGCGAACGTATCCCGGTTAACTCACATATTTTGGCTCGTCGTTGGGGCCCATATTTTATTCAACTTCTCCGTGAATCTACAGCCTCGGAAGAGATCATGTCCGATTCCGCTACCCTACGCCAGCAGCCCTCATCTCACCCTAGCCGAAACTCTAGCATCACAATAACACCTTCAGTGGGCAACAGCAGCAACTATTCTACCGCGACGACCCTAGTCGGTCGCAGTAGCTCATCATCCAACCGGAAAGCCGCCCCGTCGCTCCTCCCCAACCTCGAAATCCCCTCCGCACACACCCTTACACCAACTTCCCGCCCTAGAACTCTATATCTCCCGCATACCCATCTAACCGTCCAACTTCTCGTCCAATATCTGTATACTTCCTCACTCCCACCCCCTGGCTCCCAGCTCTGCACCCCGCAAATCCTCTGCTCTCTCCTCCAGCTCGCACGCCCCTACCAGGTCGACGGCCTACTCGAAGCCACGGTCGAACGACTACACCAAGTTCTAGACGGCCGGAATGCTGCAGCTGTTTTCAACGCAGCCGCCATGGCTGCGGGCGGAGGCCGTGGCACAGGCTTTGCCAGCGGACCTGGTGGAACGCTCGAAGTTCTAAACGGCGCACACTCGCGCTCCAACGCCGTCGAGTCCGCCACAGATCCAATGAGCAGGCTGAATCTCAACTCAAATTCCTCAGATACAGAGTCCGGAGACACAACGGGGCCTCGGTCGGGTGCGATTGGTCGAGGCGTTGGTGGTGGTAGTGGACTTGGAGCCACCCAACGTCGCACATCAAGCGCCCAGCGACCCGCCAACCTTCGCATTAACACCACAAATTTGAACTCTGGAAGCACAGCCGGCGGCAACCGCAACCGCGCCGAATCAGTCAGCAGCGCAGCAAGCACGGCCACATCAGCATCGACAAATACCAGCCTCAGCTTCTCAGAATCAATGGGTGCGGATGATATTGCTCATCATAATGAACACATGAATAATAACATGGATGATGACATGCTTAGCCATGGGCGCGGGCGGGCCAAGCCTGAACGGGAGATTTGGACAGGTGAGATTAGTAGTGTTGTTGGGCTGCAGAAGAGAGGATTACGTGGATTGATGGAGGGGAGACGGATGAGGGAAAGGGGTGGGAGGCCGACTACTAGTACACCTGGAACGGCTGGTGGGGATGGTGGGGGTGGTGGGGGTGGTGGTGAGGGCGCAAATGCAGCTGCCACCAGCGGAGGGCCACAGGCGACGTCTACGGTTATCGCTGGCGCCGCCGTGGGTGGTGGGGGGTAGATGAGGAATGAGGCAGAAGCAAAAACGGAGGGTAATCTGTGTCTGTGCTTCAATAGGCGTTTAGGGACTGACGTTATGATGCAAATGATTTTACATTCTTTTTCTGGGTTCCTGGTTCTTTTTATTTTTACCCTCTTCCCCCTTCACCTCTTCTCTTCACCTCTACTCTACTCCATTTCGATGCCCCCTCCTTTGTCTTCGCGTTTTTATCTTCACTATTCCCCCATTCCCTTACTTCGTTGTCATTTCGCCCAGCTAACCTCTCTTCGTGGATCTTATGACTTTATCCGATATCATTTGTATATACACATGTATGCTTCTCGAAGCATGCATTTATTTTTTCTCCCAATCAACTCCTTTGGCTTGCTTGAAAATTTTTTGGATATTTCTTTTTGTTCCTTTTTTTTTTTTTTTTTTTTTTTTTTTTTTTTTTTTTTTTTTTTTTTTTTTTTTTTTTTCCCTCATCGTATGTTTTTCCACTTAACTCATTTGAGTGTATGGGGGGAGAGTGTAGTAATTACAAAATGAATTGCAATGTAAAACGTAGGTATTTAGAAAGGGTGGGTGATTGATGTAACGGATGGTATGTGGATACAAATCTCCACATTTTTTTCTTCTTTGTTTTCTTTTGGTTTTTATGAAGGAAAGAGAGAAGAAGGGGAGAGCATTAAAAAGGAGGGGAATACGATGATTAATAGTAAAGCCTAGAACTTCGATGAGAAGAGGGGAAATGGGACGAGCAATTGAGAAAGAAATGAAGATAAAAAAAAAACAAAAAAACAACCATTCGCCATTTGAGAGCTAGATATTGAGAGTAGCGAATCATACCGAAGAAAGACCATGACGGGTAGCAAAACACCCAAGTAGCAAAATCTTGAAAAATATATATGATGCATTGAACATGATGTGGGGCAGATGGAAAGAGTAAAAATTTACAATCCCAGGGGAAAAGGAGAGAGGTGCCAGTAGTAAAATAAATTATTCCTTTGTATATAGGTAGGTAGGTAGGTGGATAGATAAGTTATATGTAAATAAATAAGTAAGGCAGGTTCGAGGAAAAAAGAAGAATAGGAAGAGGGAAAAGAATGAAGAACAGAGAAAAGCCCCTAACCCAATTTTATGAGATCTTCTTTTAACGTCCCGGAACCGCTCTCGCCAGTACCCGTATATTATCTACAAACCCTTTGATAAGTTCCTCGTACTGGTTTTTCGGATCCCCCGCAAGCGCTAGGTCACCCTGGCGCCGGACTTCGGCGGAGGAGATCTCGATTTCAAGCTCGTGCTCGAAGTCTGACTGGGGATTATTGGAGCCGTCCTGAATTGGTTTTGGTAGTTAGTTACTGGCCGGGAAAAGAAGAAGAAATAATGAGATTGGTAGCTAGAAAGGATTCTGGGGAAAGGGGTGTGCGAATACAGTCGAGTTAGTTGGAAGACGGGTGGTGAATTATGAGTCCTAAACGCAAATACGAATTGAGACAGAAAGGTGTTGTTGTGGTCTGATGTGAGGAATTGTACAGAGTAAAATCAAGAGCAGTATTCTAATATGCAAGCGGAAAATAAAACGAGAATAAAATACAGATTGACATACCTCTGAAGTAGCAACCTGAGTCAAGTCAATTTGATAAGCCAAATGTCTATAACTCATGCGATCTTTGCTTCTTGCACCACCTCGAGGAGCCCCAGGCCCGCTCAATGAGCTCGGTTCACTCGGCAAATTGAGCTCGCCAATATCGCCTTCGTAGTTCATTTCAAGGTTGACGCTTATTCGCCAATCAAGACAAGTTCTCGGGCTATACACATCTAGATCCGCGATGCGGCATTTGATGATGCGAGCTAGTACGGCGCCTGTTCGCTGGTCCGTTGTCACGCGGACTTTAGGCTTGTGCCGAGGATTGAGATGGTGTTGGATTATGGGCGGGAGGGCGGAGGATGAGATTTCGTAGAACGTATCTCGTTCTTTTTTGTGAGCGTAGGTTAATGGAATGCGGGCGCCCGGTTGAGATATTGAGGATTTCACAATGTCGTTGAGGAAATCGTTTAGGGCTCGGTGTTGGGCCTAATTGGATATTTTTGCTTGGTCAGTGCGTTCCATTTATAAATAAACATTGAATGTTGTATGTGAGGGCGAGGGAGAAGAGGCCTCACCAAAGACATTGAGCTTTCAAAACCAACTCGTATACTTGGATCATCTTTGGCAAGAATACACTCTGTAAGAGCTGGTATCCGAACACGTTCTCCACGATTTCTGTCAACGAGCATGCCCAGCTTAGCTTCAACTTCGAGAACAGCGCCTTGTCCTATAGCTGATCCTCCAGCGGGCCCTGCTCCAATATCTCTTCTCATAACAACCTGTTGGAACAAGAAGTCGCAGATCAATTTTGTGACTTCTTCGTGGGGTATTAGCCCAGTAATGGACGGTTCCCAGGGACCTAGTGAGGTGGCGGTTTGGTCTACGGGCGGAGGTCGGGCAGGAAGATTCCCATTTGTCGTGGTTTCGCCGTTTGGGGCCTCAGCAATTGGATGCGGCGGAGGCGGTGGAAGGGAACGAGTTCTCGAAACAACCCTGTCGGCCTGAGGTTCCTGCTTCGCAATAGCGCGTTTAAAGGGAGGAACATAATGACCGGTGGGTATTGGTGGAGGATTACCACTAGTTCGGGGAGCTTTGCGTGCGTAGATCGGAGGTTCATCATAACGCCTTCGCTTCTTCTTGGAAATGCCAGATGGTAGCATAGACCTGTTAATAGGGGCATCTTCTTTCACTACTAATTGGCTTTGACCGCTCATATTTGAGGCGGGAGGTTCACTTTGTCGTAGTCGTCTGGTAGGTGGAGACGTTGTTGGTGGTCGACTAGTGTTCGCTGGTTGTGGTGTTCTCGGTGTGGAAGGAGGGTATTGTGACGGTATTGTATCACTGGCGTCATGTGGATGCCCAGGGAAATGAACGGCACTATTGCTGTTGTTTTCCCATGTAGCGTCGTTGGCGTCCTTTCGATACGGTTGAGGAGTCTGATCATGAAGTTCATTGTCACTCAAGCTACTCAGATTAGTGAGGGGGCTAACACTCACACTCCTCTCCTCGGTTCCCACTGAATAACGCCTCTGATTCTCGCCACCAAGCCCTGAGTCTTGCCGCGCAACTGTAGTCTGTGCAATTGGGGATCCTACATCTCTCTTATTCCGTAACTGAACATCTTGGCTACCCCAGGAACCGGAAAGGGAGCGCTGTTGTTGAGAATCAAAACCAGCGGAAGGCGGTCGTGGTTGATGCGGCGAAGGGCGGGAAAAGGACGTTGGGGGGGGACCAAGGGGTGTTCCTGGGTGGGAGCGTTGTTGATTGGGGGAGAATGACTGTTGATGTTGCTGAATGGGCTGCTGTTGCGGAGCTCCAATACTTTCACGGTGCGGATAAGAGTAGCTATGAGCGGAGGTGGGGGTTTGAATAGAATGAGCAGATTGTGAGCGTTGTTGCGAGAAATATGATTGCGGGGTCCCCGCGCTCATAGCTTGAGGGGTATATGGAGAAGATAGTGGCCCTGCAGATTGATTGTAGGCAGAACTGGCGGAATTGGGGGGGAAGTTGTCGCGCGAAACAGGGTGGTAGGTCTGCAGGGCATGGGGCACCGGGTGCGCGCCCTGGGACTGTGGGCCGCCGCTGCTCAACGTAGACGCCGACGTATGTTGATATGGTGAGTGAGCGGATCCATACGACGAAGATCCACCGGGAGAGTGTAGAGGGGGTTGGAGGGGGGGAGGTTGCGGCGGTCTCGTGCGGAACTCGGGGGTTTGCTGAGGCTGTTGGGTTGTGTGGTAGGATGCTGGCGAAACATCATCGTGCTTTTTCGTAGGGTGAAGCGAATCCAGATCGTGGCCCTGGGGCTGTTGAGGAGAAGGCGGCGGGGGTTGGGCAGCGGAAGCTCTCTGAACACCACCAGCAGCGGCGTCGTTGTTGATGATGGTGCGCAAGTCCATGATCACGGCAGCGGACGGCTGGCTGAACAAAGCCACAACTTAAAGGCCACACAGGTCCAGCTCTGGCCGTCCTAAGGCATACAATCCATCGACACGATGGCAGCTAGTCGTGGTTGATGAGGAAAAAAGCGCGAGAAGGCGAACGGGAGATCAGGGCGTGTCAGATGTAGCGCGTGGGGAGACGAGGGTGGTTGGCGAGCAGTCGGAGCGAAACGTGAGGTTCAAGACGCTTAGAGAATTTCCCCTTTGGGAAGTCTGCGATGGAGAGAAATCCAATAGGTGCAAAAATAACGTGATCGAGAGGATCAGGAGCCAACGCGCCGAACTACCAATATAAATATATTATGAGCAGGTATCCAGAGACACATCCATGTTATTCAGTGCCTATCATCCATTGTCAACCCTTTTTTCTTGAGTTAATTAACTACGAGCAGTCATGGCTTGATTTGGACTGCGGCTCCCAGCAGAGTATCGCGATGTAGAATTTGTTACTGTACAGTCAGTAAGCTGAACTGAACACCATTTCTGAATTTGCATTTTACAACTTTATATTCCATTTTTCCAGTTACTTTTCAGTGTGTTGGATTATTTTATATTTCTCCTGGCTGTTAGGATTAAAATTCCGTGATAGCAAGCAAGAAAAAGCACCCAGATATCTTCGTGTGACACTGGGACGAGATGGTTTCCATATTCCTGGGCTTCACACATTGCACGGAGTTTCAAGGACCTATCTATATATGTCTGAATGTAATCTACGAAATAAAAATACCCCTTGGCCTATAGTTATCGTAATGATAGTTAGAATGTATGAAAGATGGACCCTACTAGACATTCAACTATCAACTTTGGATGAAGCAAATGTAGTTTCTTCATCAGCAATAAGCAAAATAGCAACCAATCAAATAATCAATAGAAGTAGTTAACTTAACCTAGAGAGCATACAGGTCATTACATACCTGGGTAACTGACAAATGGCTCAAAGCGTGGTTTCGTATGACCATAATGCATCCATTATAGTTGTAAGTTATACAAGTTATAGCTCGACGGAGTTAAGAGTGGCTATTACGAAGCAATATCAGGGATGAAGATGAAGAGCAAAGCAGAACATCCAGGCCTTGTCCACTATTTAACTTAGGTAAAATATGCAGAGTTTTAACTCACATTATGAAAGGAAAGTACTGTAATGGAATAAGCATCTGTAACGCCTATTTTAGTGGGGCCTTTAACTGGGGACAGTTAAGGTTAGTTGGTCCTGGTTAAGCCTAGTTAGCTAACCATGTAAGCCGCCGTCAATCTGTTGTTCATCCCTATGTATAGTACAACATGTAAATGTATGTACATACTATATACCGTTCTTTCAAAGGGAGACGGAGATTGACACAACGCTGTTCTCTATCACCTTCACCTTCGCGCCTTTACCTTGTAGCTTTCCAATGTCGACTTTGATTGTCCCCGCCCGCCCCTGTGTCTCACGCTCATCTTGTCCTTCTCCTCCCCCGGAGTATATCAAGGCCTCGTCTACCTGGCTGATATATCTCCGCTCCGTCAAATATGGTTGACCAATGCTCTCGCTCCTTAGCATGTTGTGAACAATCTCCTGGTGCCTTTAAATGCAGTTCCTCTCCTATTGATGAGCGGGCTTCACCTTTGAACTTCTCATCAACGCCCTCCGCTGCCAAAAATCAAGAAAGCCGCGCTGACGACTGGGAAGATTCTGATTCCAATTTCGATCCCAAGTCTGATTCTCACTCAGGCTCCCACTTGTTGCCCCCTAGAGATATCTCAATGTACTATCTCGATCGTTTCTGTCTTGCCATTGTCCCCAGCTTTCTGCGCCATTTGGTAGAGACGCCCTCGAACAAAGATCATGCGCCGCTACAGAAGTTACATACAATTGCTGCCCTCGACGGCTTGCGAGGATGGGCCTGTTTGCTGGTCTTCAACTTTCATTTCCTCTTCACATATACGGATAAAACTGCGGTGGGTTGGGGGTTTGGCGAGGATAACTGGGGAATCCATCAATTGCCTATTATCCACATGCTGATATCGGGCCATGTTATGGTGACAATATTCTTCGTCATTTCCGGCTATGTGCTCTCCTATAGGCCGCTTAAGTTGCTCCGAAATCGTTCCTGGGCGCAGGCCTTTCACACGCTCGCTTCCTCGACGTTCAGGCGTGGATTACGCCTCTATATCCCTTCCATTGTGGGGATTCTTTGCGTGCTTATCGCTGTGCGCCTGGGATTCTATCATTATTCGACCTGGGTTCGTGATCAAGGCCACACTATCCTTGGTATCAACGAACAGCACCCTCCTTATTTCGTATCTTTTATCGACCAGGTTGCGGACTGTTACCTCACAGTAGTCCATCTGATAGATCCCTGGAACTGGGGGCTTTATTATAATTTCTACAATCCCCATCTGTGGACCATCCCGGTCGAATTCCGTTGCTCAATGGTCCTTTTCCTGACCATTATCTGCGTTTCCCGATTTAGAACTTGGATTCGTCTAACTCTTGTTTCTGGCCTTCTCTATTACTGTATTCGATGGGGCCGATGGGACCTCGTGCTATTCCTGTCTGGCATGCTTATGGCGGAGGTGGACATCATCCACGGCTTATGGGAAGACCGTCTTCCAATCCTTCTTACTTCCACTCCCATCCCCCTCGAAAACCAGCATGAACGTGAACCGTCGCACGATGGCACCAACAACTCCAACAACATTGAATCTGCCCAATATACCACTCCTACATCAGATAGCTGCTTCACCCGCCACCGATCCCCCCACCGCCTCCTCTGGGTCACCCTCTTCATCATAGGCCTCTTCATCGGCTCATCCCCCAATAGCGCCCCGCAACATACCCCTTTCTACCGCACCCTCGCCTCAACCCTAACCCCAAGCACATACCCGGAACCACACCGCTTCCTCCAATCCCTCGGCGCCATCATGATCGTCTGGAGCATAAACCGCTCCGCGGACTTGCAAAAGCTCTTCACGAACGCGCTGGCGCAGTACCTCGGACGCGTCTCTTATGCATTCTATATCGTGCATGGCCCAATCTTGCACTCGCTGGGCTACGCGCTTATGCCGAATATATGGGCGCTCACTGGCAAGGACACGGATGCGCAGTATTGTTTTGGAATTACGATTGGATGGTTGATTTGTTTGCCTGTGTCCATTTGGGCGGCGGATATGTTCTGGCGGGGCGTGGATGTGCCCACTGTTCGGTTTGCAAGGTGGGTGGAGAGGCGGCTCTTGGTAACTGGTTTATAGCCTTTTTTGTGCGTGTTTGTATTTTAATTAATATTCATTTTTCCTCTTCCGATTATCGGACATATAAATGGCATTGCGGAATGTGTGTACATATTTGGCCCTTTTACTGCTTCCATTTTTATTTTCACGGTGTTCCTAGCATGGTTTTTCTGTATTTGCCTTTATACGATGACCTGGAATTCTATCTCTGTCCATCCCCGCCTCATCTCGTGGATTTCTTCCCCAACTACCCGCTTCTTATTTGTCGGCGCTCTTCTTTTAACCGTCATTTCTGTTCAACATCATTCAAGGCGCCTCTTCTTTCTGACTTGGATCTATTATTCCCAATTCCTAAAGAATTGGAATAGAAAAGCCACTTCCAAACTGGAAAGCCCGGGGGTTGAATGCGAGAAGGAAAAAGCCGCAAATTGCTTGTATCTATTTATTAGAGGGCGGGAATATAAAGCTCGGTAATACAAAAGGAGCAACAACTAAAAAATAAAATAAAAATAAAATAAAAATAAAATGGGAAACCAGAAATCTTGTATGGTGAAATCCAAGAATAAAAGCTAAATATGGGAGCCAAACAAACACAGAAGAAAGAAAGAAAATGTGAGAGAGGGAAACGAAGGCAAAAAATAAGGCAAAAAGTAAAGGCTTTCGTAATTCATTAAGTTTTCCATCTCGAACGACCGTTCTCCAAACCCAATCTGAACCTGAAAACGTATAGGGTAGATTATGTATGTGAAAGAGACAAAAGCGGGGAGAAAGAGAAAACGCGGAACGGTCCGGAGTGATCCCACCTATATATAAAGGTCGACCAAAAAGGAAGCAAAAAACAAGACAGTTCAAACCGGACCAATGCGTATGTTTCTTTTATCTTCTTCCGCCCGCAGCAGCCGTACTCTTCACTCCGCGGAAAATCTTAAGATGTCTGTTCTCCATCTTCTAATTTTTCGAAACAGAAAAGGGAAAATGTGATAAAAGAGAAGTTTCATATCGACACTGTCCACAGCCCACGACCACCACACACCCCCACCCAATCCCTACCAACCCCACCAACCCCAGGTGCCCCAGGCATGCCGCTACTCGCATGCGGCGCCCAGCTAATATTCGAAACCTCGTAATCGCATTGCCACGCTGCGGCGGGGCCACGTTCAACGGTTGCGGGCCCATTGGAAGTGCCACTATGATTTGGTGGGGGCGGAGCTGGGGGGAAAGCTGCAGCATTGCTTTGATTGATAAGATCCCAGACTAGAACGAGGCAGTCATCTGCGCCTGAGGTGATGGTGCCGCGGCGGGTGGGAGACCATTCGATGCAGTTTATGGGACCTCCGTGGCCTTTTAATTCGAGTAGGGCTTGGCCCGGTTGTCGAACATCAAGTATGCGGATTATGTTGGAGTCTTGAGAGAAGGTGCCAAGTAGATGGGCATCGTGGGGTGACGCTTGAGCGTAGGTTAGTAACTTCGAGGATCTTATTTCTAGAGCTAGGGCCCGCGGGCTTATTCGGGCGGACCTATTCAGGGGGGCAAGGCACTTACCGGCTATTCTTAGTAGGGGAGGAGGCCAGGGGGCATTGTGAGAGGGTGGCGTAAGGTTCCCTGGGTTCGCTACTAAAAATATGTTAGTATAAAAACGCTTTTAAAATTGAAGGCGAGTGCGGTTTACACTTTTCATTTTTTTCGGACGGTTCATAGATAATCGTGCTATGCTCTAGGCTTCTTAGGTCAAACATCCGAACGCTGCCATCTGCGCCACAACTAACAAACACATCAACACTGTTGGCACAGAATCGGACATCATACACTTCTTTATCATGTGCAATCAGCTGGGTTTTAGCCGTTAGCGTGGGAATGTCCCAAATAGTACATGTAGTGTCGATGCTTGAAGTGATGATTAGGCTTGGAGACACAACATTCCAATCTAATGATGTAATTGGAGCAGTATGTTCCGGCGATTTGGAGTTGGAAAGTAGAGCGAGCGGTGAAAGCTTCTGTATAGGTTGATTTCTCGACTTGCTTGATCGGTTGATAGAGTTACTCAGGTAAGACTGAGAGTGGGAGTCTGCCGGTAATGACCAAAGGCGCAGATGATCACCAGAGGTAGCCAATAGATCGGTTGATTGCTTTTGGGACGAGGGAGGTTCCCATAATATTCTGGTCACCGGGTATGAATGTGTAGCCTCCGCGGTCTTTATAAATTCCAAACCCGGATTTCCATCGGGAGATTCCGGCACATCTGAAGAAGCACGCTGTGCGCTTAGAATTTGAATCTGTAACGATAATTAGTTGAGTCTGGCCAAGTCGTACAATATTGCATACTGTCTAGGATAAGCTATGTGTCCAGCAGATGCAGAACATACATAATTGTGACTGTCTTCAAGATAGCTTCCTAGAGCGATTTTCCCGAATGATGACCCTCCTGGCGGAGCAGGCCATTTACACCAATCAAAGGCGTATACCGCCCATGGAGCGAGGTAATTACTGTTTGTAGGGTATAGGATATTAGCACTATTGCCTCCTGCCACAGAACTGCCTGTGGCTTCCGACATCGCAGAATCAATGTGGGGTCTGATATCAGCCAGTCCTAAAGGTGAGTATGGAGACGACGTCTGTGGAGTCTGTGCCGCATAAGTGCCTGAAGTCGGCGATATGTACTTCCCACTATCAGGTGTGCTCCCTACATGTTTGTATTTCTGTTGATCGAACGTGGACGACGGACTGGACCTAGAGAATGCTTGTTGTTGGCTGGATTGGCTGGATTTTGTAGGCGTGTTGGGAGAGAGCGGTTGGGTGGCCAAGTGTGGTAGCATTTGTATGGATGGCGGAGCAGTGGTATTAGAAGGACCTGGTCGATTTCCAGGTCCCGGCTGCAATGCTCCCGGAAGTGAGGTGGTGTTATTGCTAGCACCACTGGAGAATTGGGACGGTTGAATATTTATTGACGGTGCGCTATAGTCAGATGCAGAGGGAAACTGATGTTGGCCTGGTCGGGGACCATTTGAGGCCAATGAGTTGCTCGCTGCAGGGATGTGTAGTTCCTCTGGCTGTCGCGGGAAAGTTTGTTGCCGCCGGGGGCCATTGAAGGTCTGAGAGGGTTCCGCCATAGTAGAAGCTTACGTTGTGGAGGGTAGGGAGGTATCTCAAGCCTCTATGCCTGGGCTGGGAGCCTGGTAGATATCGTATCAGCCCGGTCGCCACCGCTGATAGCGCCCGCCGAGTGATCGTTGGAGAAGTAAAGGAGGTCCGAACCTGAGGATGTGGTGTTGGAGGGGCGCCGCGCAAGTTCGCGATGGGAGCGCCAACAGAGCCTAGAACTTGTGTAGTCTGAAATACTCCACCAGTTGCACTAGGGTTAGTTGGGGGTGCATCCTGTGCACTACCTGTAGGATAATGGACGTGATGTTGCCCATGTAGAGGCATATTCACCAACTACAGAGAGTGTCGACGGCGATTTGATATCGCGAGCTCGACGTCAACAACGAGCCGCATTGCCTTGGCGAGCGCATGACTCAGCAGAGGTATACACGTGACTCAGCTTCCCTCTCCCTCGGCTCATTTTATGGGAAGAGAGACACCCCGCCGACGAAATATAAATAACTATAGAAATTAAAGCAATATCAAAAGGAAAACGTGTCTATTCGAAGCATATACCAGTGAATCAGCCAGCCCGTGACGATTATACAGTATCTTTGCATGTTTCTCGTCCTTCACTAATACAATATCTGGCGTTCGCGTCTCCCAAGGCACATTCTATTCGGCTCGGTTCAGCTCTAATATTACCCGATCTTATCGAGGCAACTTTATATCAACTTATATTGTAGGGTTCTGAATGCTGGACGATATGGCGTCTGGCGGAGATCTTCGCCATGAAGCATTGCTCTTACTCCCTAGCACGTCCTCAACCTCATATTCTTCTTTGAAAGCTGCATACAACCCCGCGTTGTCAATCATCCTTGCCGAACTTTCCAGTCCTATCAAAGGAACTAGTAGTAAAGCGGTATTAGATATCGCAATTACCGCACGTGGTTTAGCTGCACCGGATTCTGCACCGCGAGGCAGGTCGTTCGTGCATTTACAACAGCTGCTGGCTTCTTTCTATAGGCTCCTCGGCGTGACGAGTGTTGCACAAGCGGTTGAATTGGACGGGCCCGGGGGGGTGGATGCAAGAGTGTTTTTCCTTGACGATAGCGAGAATGGCAGCGACAATAACGATGGTGGTGATACAAATCGCTCCCAGGTCTCGCGTGCTAATCTAGGCCCAATTATCCATCTGACCGATTTCGCAGCTTCAGGTCGTTCCTGGGAAAGCATTTTTTTTCTCGGGACAAGAGAAGGGGATATGCTCCTGAATGCGCTTACCACGACAGCAAAGAAACGAGGGCTGTCAAATCTGGCCCCCACCATTCGAAGGCTTCCAGGCGTGTCAGCGTTACAGCCGCAGCCAACGGTTCTTGAGCCACTCGCACTGCATCCGCGACGCCATTATTCCGTTGCAGTTGGCGGTACTTTTGACCATCTGCATGCAGGGCACAAACTCCTGCTCACAGCGACTGCCCTTGCCATTGATGAAGTGCCGCCAGGATCTAAGCCGGTTCAAAGGACCATCACCATTGGCATCACTGGGGATGAGCTGCTGGTGAATAAACAATATGCAGAGTACCTAGAAAGTTGGGATGAGCGATGGCAGGGAGTTTGGGGATTTATGGAATCAGTGATACATTTCTCCCCACCGCTTGCGAAGCAGTATGCCACCCCGGCCGCGACCGCCAAAATTGAATATGTTCACCATCCCGCTCCAAATGGCAAGTATGTCCGCGTGCGGGTGTCATCGGACCTGGATATCAAATTCGTTCAGATTTCTGACCCATTCGGCCCCACTATCACGGACGAAGCCATAAGCGCTTTGGTCGTATCCAAGGAGACTCGATTGGGCGGGCAAGCCGTGAATGACGAGCGTGAGAAGAAAGGGTGGTCGATGCTCGAGGTTTTTGAAGTTGATGTCTTGGACGCCAGTGAAGGTGAAAGCCAAGGAGAGGCTGTGGAGAATTTTGAGACCAAGATCAGCAGTACACAAATTCGCCGACGTCAGATGAACTTGGCTAAGGGAAATCTATGAGGATATAGAGTCTGTCATCTCCATTTGTCTTTTAACAGCGACTGATTGTTGATTCTCCCTTTGTTTCCCTTCTTTTAAGAATGTGTACGGGGGAATAGATAAATCCAATAAACCGAAGTTCTTCCCTTATCTTTACCCTGCACCGTGAGCCGACACACCTTTCTCAGGCAAAATGGTCATCTTTTGTCCCGTTTAGATAATGCCCTAGCTCTGTCTTAACCATGGCCACGGAATCGGAAGACTAGGAAACCCGAATTTTATTCTTGTAAAATGGGGGCTCAGTGTTTGACCGGGATTTGGGCCTAATTGAAACAAAACACGCAAGGGTCGGCGTTGGTGCTCCAAGGCATTCAATGGCCTTCACATCTGCATGGAACACCACAAATTCCTTTTTTTGTGTATACAGTTTCCACAACTCCATATTGTGTAGATACCCGACTAGCGCTGCGCAGTTTTTTTGTTGGCATTACTACCCCGTATTTGTTAAAGCATGCCCTGGACAACTGCCAGCAAATGCCATCGTTCATCACGGTGGAAAGTGAAAATGTGCAGTAAAAATAAACCCCTAACTCAAACCACGACGTCGTGTGGCGTCGTAACGAGGGGCTGAAGAAAAAGCAAATAAAAGAACAGCATGCTACTGGGGCATCGTGGCCGCTTCTTCCATCGAGGGCTGAACACAGCAGGGAGAGGGTGCAGGAACAATTAGAGAGCAGAGTACGGAGTACTCCGTAGTAAAATAACGAAATGGAAAAAGAAAGCAAAACGGAACAAATGTTTCCTTTTGAAGAATTCATCATTCGCAGGGGAATTATGTGAGTAGATGGAGTTAGTTGTATGCAGCATTCGAGCAAGGATGCGGCATCCGGGCGCTAAAAGAAGGGCACGACTGGGCCAACAAGCAGGTTGCCAGCTCCACTAAGGAGAGAGAGCGGGACTTACATGAAAATTTTCCTTCTTCCATTCTTTTCCCCCCGCTGATTAGGCTCATAATTACTCTGTAGAGCATAGGGGGACGGCTAGGATGTGAGATTCCTAGAATGAAAACGGGGCGAGTTGGTCCGATTTACAATCTGCCACGGGAGCGGATGATACAGGCTAACTCTCTGATTTCACAGGTACAAAGTACATGTACATGTACATGTACTGTACATGGACAGGAGTGAGAGTAAAGGGCCGAAGTTGGACACGCCCAGGACATACGAAAAACTAAGAGTTCTTCGGGTTCCTTGTTTGTTGCCCATCTGGTCTGTCCGTTTGCATAACTGATGATAATTCAGGAAACAAAACCCTTGGCCCTGATGCATGTCCTGTACCTACATATGGATGCCTGTCTGTAGGGGCGGATAGTCCTGGGATGTTTGCTAAAACGGTACAGTCCCGTACCTTGCAAGATAAATGCACTATTCCCGTCCTAGTTGCGACGGGAATATGACCAGTCCATACCACCCGTGCCTGATTGAACCGTCGTGGAGTGGTAGGAAACGCAAATGGGATAACTATTCAGAAAGCACTAAATTAGTAAAGCAGAGTATCAGTCAATCGGGGCCTGAGGTAGAGTTGTACAGCACAATATGCACTTACCCACTCTTTCATAGGTTGCTCAAGCTAGTTATAGAGATATGGTACAATAATAGTATGTAAACCAGGCGATGTAAAATGAAAACCTGGAGCTGACGATTGACGACACGGCAGGCAGTGTGGTCTAGGACAATGACCATGAAACTCAGGCTGTGATCGTTGCCCAGTCCTACCTTCATCCTTCAGGCGAGAGGAAGGCTGTTAGGGCAAAGTTGGGTATATATCTCAGATGCCGCAGCCCAAAAGGGTGGAATCCCACTTCCCCATCCCAACACTGCTCGATGTCACAACCGAGAACACGTCGGTGGTTCTCGACCCCTTTCGAGCATCATGCCCACCTACGTCGTCGGCTGATCTGTCATGGTGATTCGCCGCCTGGGGCCAGCGGCCAATGTACCAGCGGGGTTGCTCTGTGGGTTGCAGGGACTCTGCAGCATTGGGTCGTGCATCCGCCTCTGGACAGAGGGAGAGCAGTTAAGGGGGGTTTTACTGGGTCGACTAGGAGAACCAAGCTCTGCAGAGTGCAGCATATCAAGGCCAGCACGCCGCCGCTCTGCCCAACAATTCGCCTGCCACACCCGCGCCACAGACTCTGGCGTCCTCCTATCTCCAGGGGCCCAAGGTTCGTCTCTCTAGATTCACCGCGGCCCGCATGCTGCCGCTGCTGGCGGAGGATCTGCTGGTGTATTTTCGATCATGTGACCGCATGGTGTAGTGGCCGCGCTGCTCATTCGCGTGGGCAATGGCAGGAAGCCCTGCTAGCAGCACACACGTTTTTCTCTTCTACTCGACGATGACGACGGGGATGGAAGCGCCCGGACACTATATTGGCGTATACCGAGTTGCCTATGGGCAGGTGAAGGACATGCTCTAATCAGCTGCGGCATGCTTATTTGTCGTTGCTATCGTCTGAAGTCCCCCAGTTGCTGGCGGTGTGGTGCTTCATTTCAGGGCCCGCCATTTGGCCCTTCTCTCCCCACATTCAGATCAGCAGTGCTGTTTCCAAAGCGGTTCTGGTTCTCGCTTTGACGGCTGCTTAAGCCCTCTTTATATGCCTATCCTGAGCCCTCCCATGTTTTTTTGACTTTCCCTTTCCGCTTTTGTGCTGGACGACGATCTTATTGCCGTATTATCCCCACACTGAACTGATCCACTCGGACTTTATTTGAGCGAATAAGTTATTATTAGGTTTCAAAAAGGATCCCAAATATAGTTTCTATATACATATATATATATATATATATATACATATATATATCTTATGATATTGATCTCAAAGATACTGCCCACCCGCTAGCCCCTCAATTACCCCTCCGTTACCAGCTTTCGCCGGAACAATTCGCCAACCTGGCTACTCTCATCCTCAGTTGGTTCTTTTCCTTTTTCTCGTTTCTTTCCCCGCGATTGCGGCTATTCCATGAGGAATCTGTCGACCAAGAATTTGAAGCGGCAAAAAAGCCGTCATCGGCTTCTCAAAGCCAAGCGATGGACGAACCACGCGGTATTTTGGGCCTTTCAAATGAGCTGTTAAGAGAAATATTGGACCATTTGGCCCGGGACCCTGAGAAATGCGTCAGCGTCGACCGTCGTGCGTACCTCTCGATTGAGAGTTTCAAGCGCCCCAGCCCACCAGAGCCAACACCTCTCATTTATGATCCTAAGAATGGCTTCCAGGAAGACTATAGGACGGACATCGACCGCTTCAGAGAGGTGTGCAAACGGTTTGCAGACCTAGGCGCCTCCTATAAATTTAGCCGGGTCGTGGTGCGGTTTTCTGAAAGCGCATTTCGGAAGTTGGATATGTTGTCAAGCTCCCCACATTTGGCAAGGCATTCGAGAAATTTCACGTATATTATTCGGTCGTTTTACGTTGAAGGTTGTTCATAATTCCTAATCTCCCCGTGCTGCTTCCTTGCTCCCTCATTTTCTTTCCAATTTCTTCTTCAGACATGGTGTGTCTAACGCTCTATCTCCTTTTCTGCCCTTCGGTTTTATTTTTAGATCGAGACAAGCTCAGTGAACTTTTCTTAACGGCGGATTCCAGTAAATTAAAGATTTCCGAACATCATCGTCGACTAGAAGAGCAGAAACGTTTAGTCAGCTCGGGTGAAGATTTCGCTTCCCTGAAACGGGCCATGCGGGCATTCAAATCGCTTCAACATATAAAGATTTTGAAGGTGCAGGATGACATGGAGCGGGAGCTTTTACAATTCATCGAGCGACACGATAATCCGCTTGATCCATTAGTATCATTGGATTGGAAACCGGCATGCTCCCATGCAGTGCAGACTCTCGCAATAGCTCTTCTCGAATCTCAGCCCCCTGTCAACCGATTCTCCGGCCCCCAGATAAATCCTCAAGCAGCTCTCACGTTAAAACGAGCCCCAATCGATATGGTTTCCGCGCTTGCTGTCAAGCTGACTTGTTTGGAAATTCACTTCGATGCGATAAGATACGTTAATGCAGAGATGCGAGAATTATCAGAAGTATTTCATACTTTATTCATGGCAGCCAAAAATATGGAAGCTGTGCATTTAGGTTTTCCATCGCGGATACCACTAGATCTCCAGCTCGAAGATATATTCCATAACGTATACTGGGAGAGGCTGCGCGCATTCGGCATCCAAGCCTGGCGCCTGGATGCGGAAGAAATTATCGACTTCGCACGCCGCCACCGCCGAACGCTCCGCGGTCTTCGTTTACGAGACGTCCTTCTCAAAGAAGGAAGCCTGTGGAAAGATGTCCTTTCCATGTTGCGTGAGGAGATGGATAATTTGGAGTGGGTCAGCCTGCGACGGATCGATTATTCGAATGCTTTCGACGAGAAGTGGGCTACCAGCGCCGATATATCAGATATCCAGTCATTCCCTAATTCTGACAGCGAGGATGACGACTTTTTTGACAGGTATGATCCTGACACCAACGGTGACAACGACGACTATGAAAGCATCGGTGATGAATCGGACGGATTGAGCTCGCATAATGATGACAATGGACCCAGAGCAAATCAAATTGAACTTTCGCCTGATACGGCTTTCTCTTTGATATCACCCTGTTCACACTGGACAACGCCGCTGACGTTGATATCTGCCGATGACCTTGAAGATAATGGAATCAATGTGGAGTACCGGCAGAGGAAGCTCTGGGAGGAATGGGTGATTTCAAAGCCGAGACATTCTACTATATAAGGATATCTTCAGTTTTTTTATTTCCTGTTTTTGGTGTGCTGATGAATTTCCTTGATTTCTCTTGACGACGGTTGGAATGTTTTGCCCTCCTTTCCATGGTTTTTACGTTGCAAGTTTTGTTTATTTTGACAAGTTATGTTTCGTGTTGACGACTTTTCTTGGCCCTGTTTTTTTCGTGTTTGTTGTTTCATCCCCAAACATCACGAAAGGGAAAAAAAGGAAGGAAATACAGAAAGATAACCAAAATAAGGTGTCTTAAATCTTCACTAAAAGCCTCTCTTGCACCAATATTTTTTTGCCTTGCTCTGTTGCCGCTTTTTGTTGGCATTTGTTTTACTTCCCCGTCCTCTTCATTCATTCAATCACATCCGCATTCCACAAACCTCAGCTAGTTAAACACCGTCCATTATGTTTTTTCAAAATGTTATGCACTGATTTTACATGCGTTAGCGTGCGAGCAGGAAAAATCTGAAGGGTCTTCTTGAGGTTATCCTCACTTATGCCTGATGAAGTGCCTCGCGCCGTGCATTCATTGAACCATAGTGTGTGCGCGATCTTGCTTGCTTGTTCGCCGTACTTGCTTTCTTTCATATCGATCTTTCGGGAGGCACGGAGTTTGATGGATGTTTTATATATTCATAAAATAAATAAAAGTTGCTCTCATACGTGTTCCAAAAAAATATCCAATCAACGTTAAAAAGATATATACCCTAAAATGAATTGTATGTAAGAGAATAACTAGGTCCTAGGATTTCCTGAGTCCAAGATATCATGCTTTATCGCCGAAAAATCCTCGTTGCATGAATCATTGAGCAGGTATTGCAGGGTATAAATAAATTAAGCAGTCGAGAATAAGCAGCCATACTCAAGAATTAAGAAGAGAGAGAATAAAACAGGAATTTCCTCCAATAAAATTTCTATAAATAGCTGTACTAAAAGGAATTATGTATCATCAGGAGTTGTCAGGGTGTGTAGAAATGTTGATCCGAAAGCTGGCTGACAATGGTTCCTAGGGGTTTCATAGCCGGACTGATTGCTGAGCACAAGAGGCGGCGTTAGGAAACCCAGGAAATGCTAGTTCGTAACATCGTCTGCGATGAACGCAACGGTACTATATTATATGCATCAGAGGGCTGAAAGGAACGTAAACGGGTATTTTTCCGAGGATATGGGAGGAAGGACGACATTTACATGTGGACTCTCTCAGAAGAGGCAGAGAAAGTCGATGTTGGCTTCAAAAATCGCCTATTCTCGGACATGCTTCAGAAGGTATCCACAGTGTTCAGCTGGGTATTCTAGCAGCTTGAGAATTCGAGGGTCCGGACAGTTTTCTAAGAACATGCATACAGCCGTGCATTCGGCGTGAACTCTTGGATGCATCCACCAGTGGTTTTCTTGACATTTCTTTGCCAGCCAGTAGCCCAAGATGAGAACTGCCCTAGGATCCTTCTTTTCCAGTAGCGAAGTATAATCTGGTAGTAGCCTTCCCATGAATGCTGTGAGTTTCATAAAATTTGCTCTAGGGGGCTCCAGCTCAAGCAACGGACTAAGCATACGAAGTGGCCAATGATAGGGATTTGTTTCCTCGGTTGTTGTCTCGTCGATTTCACATAGCTCAGCCAGACCCGGATGGATGCCTTCAGCACCAGCTTGGCGGTTTTCGAATATTGGGTCATTGGATTCCATGAAGACATCAAACCAAATGCTGTGAGGCAAGTAGGGGCTCGTGAATTTAAGAAGGTGCCTAAGTCCCGATTGTAGGAGAAGCCAGTTTAAGGCTTTCGAGTCGGAGGAGAAAAGCTACTCTTCGGATGAGAAAGAAAGAACACCCATGAGCATACAGGTTGACATGAGACCGTCCATATTATGCACGCCAATCGGAGTAGATAGCTCTTTTTGATATAATACGATTGCACGGTGCCAATGATAGCTTTCGGCTATTTTGATCGATGACTTCCAGGGCATTAGCCGTCTGTGGCTAGATGTAGCAGCCCCCAGGATCGCATGCATGAGATATGGAATCTACGACAAATAAAATGTTAGTATCATTCTGATTACTGTTGAATAAAGAATCTAGGCTTCCAGTATTCGTACCTGAAATGCAATACGCAACATTGCCCCGTTTATCACATCTTTGCCGGCGGCGCTGAGTGCATTGTCTTCTGAGGAAAGTACCAGAAAGTGATGGAGAGCTTCAACGGAATCACGATTGGCCGGCTTTGGCGCGATAGTCTTGAGGTCATCTTCAATATTAGGCGCAAGTCGCAGTGCTGAATCTATTTTATCCGCAAGTTCTGTTAATGCGAATGAAAATGCGGCATTATCAATCTTAGGAGATTGAGAACATTTGTCCGCGAATGAGAACACATTTCTAGGCTTTGGCCGGGATTGTACTGCCAAATAGTCACAGGATATGCCATAGGCGCCGCATTTTCTGCAGCCTGGCTTGGTCTCATCACACTGTATTCCAGGGACCGGTTGCGGTCAGATAGTTATATCAACTGTCTCAACTCCGCAAGACGCACGTCACGACAATAATATCCACGCAGATACTCCGTACAGTACATGGACATGAAATACAAAGAATAGGAAGCATGGTAAAACCTACCTTAATCCTTCGTTTCTTGCAATTGGAGCAGCCAGTCCTCGACTTCTGGTGGGGTCTGCGGGAATGGAACGTTGGCTCTGCAGATTCGATGCCTCCCTGTTGCGATGACGTATTTCGCTGCTGTCCTCTAGCATTTGTGACACGAAATACTACCTGAGTACCGATCACTCGATTTCCCGATACGGTCAGCTCTTGGGTCTGTTCTCCAGCCTGGCAAACTCGAGTGGGAGGAGACACTGTTGAACCAAACGGGCATGCCATGATGGCTATATCCATGAACACTCAAGAAGCACGCTCATGCACTAATTTGAATAAGCTAAATATCAACTTGTCAGGAAGATTGTACAGTGTATGTCTATATATTACATTCATTGCATAACTAAGGCCTTGTTCTGGTTCTTGGAGGATAACGTTGTTGTGTTGTAATCTAACTACGCGAGTTACACTAAATAGGTTGGGGTGGCACGTGACTAGGGTAGGTGTAGTAATCACCAACACCCCCCCTTGCTACACTGTGGTCTATAAGCCGCCACCCGGGGCCTCCCTCATCCTCAAATCTTTCAAAAATGTAATAATAATTAATTACATCAATCAGACCCTGATTTTCTCATTAGAAAAGATGTCTGTACAGTAATAACTGTAAAAATCAAGAAATATATACAAAATTCATTGATTCACTATATTATCATTATCATTCAATCATTTCTTCTTCTCAATTTTCTGAATGTCAATTCTTTTGATAAAATCTTCAAATGCAGGCTTTATCAGTGACTTGATAAGACTGTCAGCTATATTCACTGTAGAATTAACATGTTTCATCATAATTTCTTCTTTTTCAATTAAATTATAGAGAATATAATATCTAATCTTAATATAATATAATCTTCATGTTAAGAATTCCTTCTTTACTAGATCAATTACTCTCTTATTATCAACTTATAGATATGAGTATATTTTCACTTTTTCATCATTTATCAACTCAGTGTTATATAATATATCATTCAATTAAATTATCTTACAAGCTATCTCACTGACTGTAATATATTTAACTTCTGTGATTTATTTAATAATAGATGTCTGTCTCTGTAATCATAATAAGATCAGTAACTCATTAATTAATATAACATAGTCAGTAGTTAATTTATATTAAGAATTCACTCTCACTCAGTCTGAATTACAGTATATTACAGAACTCAGATTTTCATCACTGATCTTCTTTCTGTATAATATATCATGATTTTTCATCTTCTTGATACAATGTAGAACATGCTTCAACACTGCTTAACATACTTTGTATAAATATAAGTTAAAATGTGAGAGATAGTTAACTGTAAATATCAGATCTGACTGACTACTTAAGATTAAATACTGTAATAATCTTAATTCTTGATAATATCTTATAGCTGTAAAATCATCATTCAATTCATCATTCTTATTAGATGAAAATTTCAGTTATATATCTATCATTATTAAGATCTCTACAGAATTCATCTTATTTATACTGAAATCTTCAAGAATCTTCTTAATATAACAGCTCTGTGTAATTACTAGATTATTATTTCTCTGATATTTAATCTTTATTTTAAGATATGACTTAATCTCTTTAATATTCTTTATCTCAAATCTCTTTATAATCTCTTTCAATACTCAGTTTAATTACTGTTCTTGAGATCTTATTATCTGACAATTATTGATATGTAATATCAGATAGATCTTGTAAACAGAGTGATATAGAAATTCATCATTATAAGATGATATCTTGAATCTCAATGTGATAAGATGTTTCATTGCTAGAAAATATTATATTCTCATAACTTACTTCATTTCATATAGACTCTGACAGAGTAGTCTCATCAAGCTCTTTCTATTATACTTAATATCTGTGAATAGTTATATATAGATCATCTCATTCTGTGATAGTATATCATTTAAAAACATGAATACATAGTCAATTAATTTAATCTTTCATTCTTTGATAGTTGATATAGTGAATAGACTGTGTAATATAGACTCTGATATCACTGCAGTATACAATCTTATATAATAGATACTCTGCTATTATAAGAACTCTCTAATCACTCAGTGAGCTTTAAAGTGAATAATTTCTTTCTTATTATTGAATTTTCAATTATATATTTATTTATCTATAAGAATATTCATTTTCAGAGTCTTCTCAATGATAATATATATCTTCTTTTATTCAAATATCTTAATCTTCTTTTTTATTATCTTATATTAATAGTTTCAGTCTGAGCTTCTCTTAACTTTCATCAGTGTAGTTGATCAGTCTGTTAAAATACTTAGAACAGAATTATTCTCATTAATAAGATCTTCAGACTCTTTATTCATGACAAGCTGTGTTTTATTATCTAGAAGATAGATTGAATTAATTATATTCTCTAAGTTCTCATTGATAATTATCTTCAAAACATCTGACTTTTTCTTCACTAGATATTATAGTAAGCAGTGCTATTATTCTTCTCTAGTATTTAGAATATTCAATTTATTAGACAATTCATTGAAGTCTCTCACTGTATTTACAGATGTATTTACACTCATGTCAAGAGCTTTATTAAATATAACATCTCATGTAATCTCAAGATAACATGCAACAGAATCTCATATATAATATTAGTATAATTCTTGATATTCAATCAGCTGTCATTTCTTATCATCAGTTCTATTGATAAGCTTATTCAACACTTTTAAATTCTTCTTATAGATCTTGTATTCTTATCTCTGTATCTAATGAATAGAAGGTTATATCTCAGTTTAAGCTTTAAAAGATGTAAATGATGTTTCTTTCTCACATTCAAATATCTTTATTGATATTAAAAATGTGTTGATTATTATAACTGTGACTTAAATAGCTTCATCTCAAAGCTCTCTTGTGAGTCTGCTATTAAATAGTAAGCTTCTTATCTTTTCATCTATAATACAATTAACATGTTCTGCAGAGCTGTTGAACTGTGATGTATCAGATGTAGTGATCTCATATGTAATTTCTTTCTACTGACAGTAGATCTTTAATTCATCACTTTTAAATTCATCTTCATCATCTCAGTGTAAAGTCTCAATTCAATGTTGAGTAGTGATCTTAATTCTGTCAATAAAGGTTATCAAATATGCAGTGATCTTATTCTTTAACATTATAAGAATAATTCATCTGTAGTGTGTAGCATTATCTATAATACTTATTCAATAATTAGCTCCTCTCTGAGTAGAAAGATTGACTTTATCATATAGTATACAGTTATCATCTGCAAGGTTCATGAAGAATCTTATTACAGATTTAACAGTTCTTATCATTGATGTGAATGTTGAATATGTTATTTTTATCTGTACACAGGTCTTGCAGAATGACAAAGCTCTATCACTCTTAATTCTCATTTCTAGTCATGAATCTGCTGCTAATTTAGTGATATTCATGAGATTGAGATGTTCTAGCTTTTGATGTCATTGCATTATTGTAAGTTCTATAATCTTTATATCATTTCTGTTAGATAGTGCTAATATTGTGTCATCTTTCACCTGTAATATATTCACAGATTCAAAATCATCATTGAGTATAACAAATCAGATCAAGTCTCTGTATATAACTGGTCTTTTCATCTCATAGATATCATTCTCATTTAATCTTGCTGTAAATGAGAACATGCAGTCAGAAGACATAATCAACATAGTATGATTATTCTCATATGTCAACTGCTTATAGATATAACTCTGACATACAAGCTTATTCATACTCATGAGATTCATTTCTAACTTCAGAACATAGCAGACATTATTTAACAGCATATTTATTTCTTTCACTGAAATCTTTGTATCTTCTAATAGCTGCAGCAAGAACTACTATTTCATCTATCATTTTCAACATTACTTTCATCTTCTGAGGTTTTGTCATAACAAGATCTCTGTGAGGTGTGACATGAGTGCCTGATTCAGAGTCTAGAATTCAGATATTTTTTCCTGTCTGATCACTTGCATAGGTCTTTTCTTTGATGCAAAATACTTGCTTCATGACATTGTGAATAGAAGCAGTATCTGTATTTTCTGCATTCTTGTCTTTATTCTTGTTTCTATTGATATTGAAGTTTGAAGAATGTTTCTCAGAGTATTTCTTTCAACAGTCAGTCTGAATATGATCAATCTTTTGATAATGATAGCAGGTTCTTGCAACATTATCTCTACATTCAGGTTTGAATTCAGTGTTCTTGTCCTTGTTATTATTATTGTCCTTGTCTTTCTTATCCTTGTCTTGAGCGTTATTCACAGGATTTTTCATGAATTCAGTACTACTATTTTTCACAGTAGAAAGGTGTAGAAGTATATCACAGTATAATCTCATAAAGTCTTCTTCTAAAGATTTCAAATTGTCTTTATCAATCTGATTCATTCTATTCTTTATAAAGAATGCTCAATCTCTATTGACTTCTATCAGTAATCTATTGAAAAACATGACATCTTCAATCTTGTATCTCAGATGAATATAATCAGTTCTGATGATAATTAATCATTCAATGAAACCTCTGTCAGATTCTTTACTTTTAAAGATTATTTCAATAAGCTCTTTAAATAAATAAGTTCTGCATACAGTAGATCTCTTAGAAAAGTTATTATCTATAATAGTTCATAGAGTATAAGCTGATAATTTGAACTTCTTAAGTATAGTAAAATGAGTCTTGATCTGCAGAGCAATTGTAGATCATATGTAATTATATAATTAAAAATTATATTCTTTTCAGAAATATTACATGTTCATAGTAGCATTCTTATCAAGATTATTATTTTTAAGAATATCATTGATTTCAGACTGTTCTGCAGTCAAAAGAATTTTCTCTCTTCATATTGAGTAGTTAATAAATTCAGTGAGAACTATTGATCTTTTAATAAGTCTTACTTAGCTTCTGAATTCTTCAAGAACTTTTATTATAACAGATATCTTTTCTTTCTATTAAAGATATTCTATCAGATTCACTCTTATCTCATTACTTACAAGAATCTTATCTCTACTGATCTTCATTTACTCAATCTCATGCTGAAGTCTTGTAATTTCAAGTCTCATACAAGTCTTCTCACTCACTGAGCTATTATTGTTTCAGTCACTTAAGCTCTCTGCATTGTCTAACATCTCACTGATACTTTCAATCATGTCTTTGTATTTGTTATTAGACTTATCAGACTGTTCTTTTACAATCATATTATTCATCTTATAAGTCTCTGAAGCAGTCACTTTTCAGTTCATTGCAGGTGTTGATAAGCTTACACTTAATTCTTCTTATACTTCAAATGTTTGTGAATTTCTTCTTCTATACATTGATATGTAAGTCTTCATTAAGTCAGACTTTTCACTCAATCTCAGGTTCATCATGAGTTCAATTAATTAATAAATCATCTAGATATACTTATAATGATGTGTGAAGATGTCAATTTAGCATGTTATTACAGTTATTGATTGCTTATAAAGAGCTTCATAATCTCTTAAAGAATAACATTATTGTGTTGTAATCTAACTACGCGAGTTACACTAAATAGGTTGAAGTGGCACGTGACTAGAGTAGGTGTAGTAATCATTAACACTGATACATGACTTGATGTTTAGTCATGTTATAACTAGACTGACCGCCGGGATCATGAATTTCACATTTAATCTCATTTAATCTGATCTCATACATTTCTTGATGTGAATTCTGCTAGGACTAATTATTAAAAAAACATGCAAAGTAACTATTTATCAGACCTTAAAATGAGATCATGACTTAGAAAAAATGTGAAAATGATTTGATTTAGTTTCATTTAGTCTCATTCTTGATATAAAGTTACTATTTTTAGATTTTTTAAGATTTTTTTTAAACTATTTTTAATTTTTTAAAAAGTAATGCTTTTTAATAACACTTAAATAAGATTTAAAGTCATTTAAGGAAATAAAAAGAATTTAAATCAAGAAGTGAAAATCATAATCTTATTTAAAAAATGTAATAAGAGTAAATAGTAAGTATCACTAAGATAGTATAAGACTACTATTTAATCTTAAAACTGTGTAATAAGATTAGTTAAATTAATAATAAAATTATTAAATATTCTGATTCTGATCTCAGATATAGTTATACAGTCAGTCTAGTTATAACTATAGTTTATCTTAAAAATTTTCAGAAAGTAGAAAACTTAATCTTATTAAATATATTACTTAGTCTAATTATATAAGCTGATCTTTATAACTTTTATATATGAAGAACATTTTACTAATTTTATTAATAATTAATTTAATACTGAAATTATTCTTAAATCTAATAATAAAGTAAGTATTTATATAATTTATACTGAATTAATTATCAATCAATTTTCAATTAATTATTAATTACTTAAATATACATATTGAGTTTATTTTCATTACTATAATTAATTAATAATGAATTTAGAATTAATTCAAAATTAATTTAAAATTAATTATTAAATATTTTTATCTTAATATATATTAAAATTCTGTAAAATATCTCTTTGTAGTAAGCTATTCCTGATTAATAGATTATTTTATTACACTTTATAGATTTCTGCTGAAAGCTCTGATTCTCAGTCACTGATTCTGAGCTGAAGAACTTACAGAGTTTCTATTCTTCTACTCTAAAGCTTCAGATTATATATATATATATATTCACTTATTTCTATTCTTTCACTCTGAAGCCTCATTTTATACATATATAAATATTCACTTTAATTACTAATTCTTATACTTTCTCTTTTTTATTTTTCTTGTCTAACATTTTTTATTTTTATTATATAACATCTATATATTATACTGATCTATTCAGTGTAGCTCTCTTATACTTGAAAAACATTTCTCATCTTCTCATTAGAAATGATTATTCATTCAGAAGATATCTGAACATGTAATAATATATAAAAAATAGAGAAATAAATAATTATTTAAGTGAACACTAAGTCTCTAAATAAGAAGCTTACTTATCAGTTACTCTAACTCTGTAATAAAATTTTATAAGAGAATGTCAGTGAAAGATCTGAGAGTTCTGACATCTTAGATGTATGAGATATTTATATAATTACACTTCTTCTAATTTCACAGATACTACATATCTGATAAATAATATAACTATGTCTATCAATAATATAACAGAACTCTTAAATGTGAGTATAGACACAGTATTACAGTGACTTTAAGCAATATTGAAATTATAACAATAACAGATAGCTGATATGTATATAACTCAATAAGATTAATATGAAGAAATTTAATAATTATGTTAACAAGAAATCTCTGCACAGACAATTTCAACACTGATAAAATCAGATATAAATAGACTGACTGTGTAACTGTGTCTGAGATCAGAATCAGAATATTTGATAGTTTTATTATCAATTTAACTGATCTTATTACACAGTTTTAACATTAGATATTAGTTTTATACTGTCTCAGTGAGACTTACTATCTACTGTTATTATATTTTTTAAATAAGATTATAATTTTCACTTCTCAATTTAAATTGCTTCAAATGACTTTAAATCTCATTTGAGTATTATCAAAAAGTGTTACTTTTTAAAAAATTAAAAATAGTCTAAAAGAAACCTTAAAATGTCTAAAAATAGTAACTTTATGTCAAGAATGAAACTAAATGAGATCAAATGAGATCACTTTCTTTGTTTTTCTAAGTCATGATTTCATTTTAAGATCTGATGAATAGTCACTTTACATGTTTTTTTAATGATTGGTTTCAGTGAGATTCACATCAAGAAATGTATGAGATCAGATTAAATGAGATTAAACATGAAATTTATAATTTCAGTAGACAGTTTAGATATAAATATAATGTAAATACTGAAGAAATATTTAAACACTCTCATATATTTTAATATCTCTGATCTCACTCTCTATTCATTATAAAGATTTAACATGCTTATGAAACTAAGTGTAGATAAAAATATTATCAGTTCATTAAGTAATCAAGATTGATATATCAATGATCAATTGAAAGATTACATAAAATAGAAGTTTTATTCATGAATAAAGACATGTGAATCAGTGTTATATACATCTGATAATATTATTAAATAACTCAATATTCTGTTCAGAGACACTGCTATGTAATAGAAGATATTAAATTAATTACAGAGTGCTTAACAGAGAAATACTTCTCTTACAACATTTATCTCTGACTTTAACACTAAGATTCTAGAAGTAGAAGATCAATTCTGAGAGAATTAAATAAAGATTGATATGCTTAAGAAGACACTAACTTTTGAAGTTCTATAAGCTCTTATATGTGTAGATAAAGATCAGACTTCTAAAGACTTCTATATACAACTTCAGACATTGAATAATTATCTTATAAAGCTTAAAAGTATACGGAATAATAGCAGAAGATAATACAGTTATACTATTATACATCTGCATCAAAGAATAACACAAATACTATAAATTAAGTAGACTTAAATATCTATATATAAACAAGAGTCTTCACTGTTTAAATAGACTTCTGAGTCTCTGAGATTGCTTCTGAAGAAGTCACTGAGTGATATTAATAAGAGATATATATTAACTGTAACTTATCAGAATATATTACTTTTAGCTACTAATTAATTTCCATGTCTTCTCATTCAAGAGAAAGATTAATACTGACAGTTCATGTTAATTATATTACATTAGAGAAAGATTCAGAAGATAACTATAAGTAGACTGATCACTGAGACTATAAATTTCATATTTAATCTTATTTAGTCTGATCTCATACATTTCTTAATGTAAATCCCGCTGGGACTAGTTATTAAAAAAACATGTAAAGTGACTATATATCAGATCTTAAAATGAAACCATGACTTGAAAGAAATGAGAAAGTGATCTCATTTAATTTCATTTAGTCTCATTCTTAGCATAAAGTGACTATTTTTAGACATTTTAAGGTTTTTTTTAAACTATTTTTAATTTTTTAAAAAGTAACACTTTTTGATAACACTCAAATGAGATTTAAAGTCATTTAAAGCAATAAAAATAATTTAAATTGAGAAGTGAAAATCATGATCTCATTTGAAAAATGTGACAAGAGTAGACAGTAAGTCTCACTGAAACAGTATGAAACTACTATCTAATGTTAAAACTGTGTAATGAGATCAGTTGAATTGATAATGAAACTATCAAAAAATCTGGTCCTGGTCTAAGACACAGTCACACAGTCAGTCTAACTATAAGAATACTCTGATAAAACAGAGAAAAGATTAGCTTCTGCTTAAACTTATAAACAGAAGCTTAAAGAGGTCAGATAATAACAATATAAAGAGAAAATAATAGTAAATATAATTCTTATATCTACTGTAATAGATAATATGTATAATATGAAAGTTATGATAGATAGCAGTCTATATTACTATGCAATGATTAAATCTTCA